ATAGCTGAATGTTTTATGTAGAATAAATTTACAGATCGGTGGTTTATTGAATTTATTTTAAAATTTATATTTTGTAGTAATTCCGGACAATCAATCATATTATTTAATAATTTAAATAAAAATTTTGATTTAATTTGCATAAATCTTTGTTCTAGTGATTGCATATTAAAAAAACCGGATTGTAACATTATAATCAGAATGGGGTGCTCTATAAACAAAACATTGATAGCATAAAAATCTGATAAAATTATTTTGAATTTTGTTTAAATCTTGGATTTGCGTTACTAAATATGGATGCCAGATTAGGAGTGCATAATCAAAATGTGAACGGATTAGTGAGTAGTATAATGTTTTTAACGCAGATTCATCTCTAAAGTTTCGACATGTTCGTTTTAAAAAACCTAACTTTTTTGACGCTTTATTTCTAATATAAAGTACATGATCTTTAAAAGATAGTTACCTAATATTAATGTATAAGACATTTTTTTTTTCAGAGTCATGTATTCATAAATATTGCGTATGCCAGCACAGTAAGGTGACTTCATTAACATTATTAATATTGGCTCTAAGAATCGAGGTCTTTTAATTTATATTAGAAACTTCATTTGATAGAACTACAATGATATTATTATTTTTTAAGAACTTAATGAATTCATCCATTATGAATACAATATAATTGATTATTCAGAAATGCAGAAACAGAGAACTACCACCAACAAGTTAAATACCCAAACAACCAGAGCTTAAAAATACCTAACTAGTGGAAATGCTAAGATGCTTTAAACACTAACAACTTAAAATTAAAAGTACAACTATAACGGAGATGTACAATTAAAGTTTATACATGACAGCAAGTCAAAAATCAATTTAATATTCCTGTTGACAAATTAATAATAGCTGGTAGGTAGTCTGGTGACTGGTAGTCAATAAATAAACCATGTGACTATATACTGTTATCAGTTTGATAAATTTAGATTATAATTTAGGAGCTATATCTACATATAAATGTTTGAAAAAATATTATTTATAAACCACTGCAGATGTAGGTAGTAATGTAGTGTACCTACAAGGCTACAAATATAAAATTGAAAATAATAACAGGGCTTTTCAGTCATCGATGAACTAGACTACCAAACTAGACGTCCAAAATTGTTTTTGCACCATTCATGTGAAGTTACAACTATTTCTTTAATTGGATTTTTAAACCGTTACCTTCATAGTAGCTACCATTCCATATATTATTAAAATAATCATTGAACACTAGTTCAATTCGTTCCTCTAAAAATAGTTATGTCTTTATTAAAAATACAATACATAAATTAATGTATTAATGTTAGAGCATGAAATTTTAGTAAGGTACCTATATACCTACCTATTTTAATTAAGAATCTTATGTTTTAGTAAAAATAAAACATTTAAGTAAGATTGGTATTTTGTTTCTATGTTAGGAAGAACCTAGACAATCTTTTTAGCTAACACAAAAGGTGTGTACAAGTACAATACACTTAGTCCAGTAAGAAATGTTCACTCTGAGGTAGGTATAGGTACCTACTAAAGTAAAAAATAAAAATAAAAATAAATACCTGGTTCGATTCGTTGTGGTCTTGGTAATGTTGTATGTTTCGACGTTGTTAATATTCGTTTCCAAACAAATCATAATATTCATTATTATTTTTATTATAGGTACCTAACCTACCATACTGCCATTGAGTTCAGAGTTTTACTGTGGTACGGAGGAACACATTTAAATATTATGTGTTGTTCTTTTCGTCCTTTCAATCACTTCCAATTTCTGTACTTGAACACAGCAAGTTGCGTATTTTGGAGCAACGTATTTTAATAATATTCTGATCAGAGAGGGGAGGAATAATAAAGCGATTTAAAAATCACGTTTATACCTATAGCATAATAATATATAAAATATATAACAATGACGCCAATTCCCGTAAAAAGCACAATTTTTTTGTACCTATAGGTATTACAAAAATTCTCAATTCATTATATTGAAATGTCTTATACTTAAGTTGCAATTTTTTTATTTTTCATTTTGAATGTCAAATAATTTTGTTTTTATATTTGATAAGACTGATTTTTAATATGTTAGTTAAAGTTTCGATAAACAAAAAAACTTTATTTTAAAAGTATCCCTATTTTTCAATACCAATAGCTTTTTTAAATTATATTATCAAGATCAATCATCTGGTTCAAGGTTAATAAAATTATTTATTACTGTTGAACTATTTTTTCTATCTGAAAAAAAGAAGACTTCGTACACGTATCGAACTCCGGTTTTTTATTTTATTTCAAATAATGGTATAATACAATTTGTAAAAAAACGCTTAAAATTGTATTATTTTTGAACACATATTAATAAGATTTTTTTTTTTTTTATTAAAATAAAGTATATTTACAATCTATACATAAGTGTATAATAAGTAAGTGTGGTGACAGAGTAATAAGTAATATGTAAAAAAAAAAGTATTAATAAGTTTGAGATTAAAATATTGAAAAACGGAGTTCGATAGGGCATTAGGGCCTGTATAATATTACCCTATATTTGTTAAACAAAAAATTATCAAATTTGGTTGATTCTATTGAACAGGATCATTATTCCAGTAGAACATATTATTGTGTACAATTATATTGACACCGGGTGCCTTAATAGCTAAATTATCTAGATGAAGACAAAAGATGTAACACTATTTATCTAGATAAAAAAGTTTAATTTTAATAACTGAACTAAATGAGAGTAATAACTACAACTAATTCAAGTCTATTTAGAGTACCTTTTTTTTTTTTTTTTTCCGTTTGAACCGACAGCAAAGGAGGATCTGTGTGAACACTACTACTCCTCTGCTGCCATCGTTTATTAATGTTTAATAAGAAACGTTAATACATGCACATTCTTAACACATAACTAATTATGGTTGCTTCACCTTGAAAATAAACATTAATACAATAGGTACAATACAATGCAATACAATGCGATACAATAAATAAAAAAGTCAGTCAATTGGAGCGGCTGCCACTGCATTCGCTCTTCGTTCGGTCTCGGCTATCCTTTCATCATGCTCCTTGCAGCTTAAAATGTTGTCAACCATGTCATAAAAGGACTGGGTGGCACGTTGGGAGGTGGCCCGTAGCCGGTCGTTCTCGCTGAACGGGACATCAGAGGGGCCACACAGCAAATCCTGGACGTCTCCCGGGGTTATATTTCGGTTACCACTATTTAGAGTACCTAATTATATACATTTTCAATTATATTTTTAATTACAGTTGCTTATACATAAACGTATTTTTTCATTTTTCTTACTGACAATTTACTAAGTACCTAATAAAAAATTACCAACTAAAATTGTCTTTGGTCTGTTCGACTGTTCGATTACTGTATAGCCGACTGCTAAATATTTTTTCGTACTCACGGTAGTGACACGACACAATGAAAACTATTGTAATTTCAATATTTTTTGTTTATTTGTTATAACTATAATGGTACCTAGTTATTGAAGTTATTAACTATTATTAATGTATTTTATTTTTATTTTTCTGAAAATCATTTCAGAATCTAGTGTAATACTATGTTCACCAATTAGATTGGATTTAATTTATACCAATCATCTTCATAACCAAGTCTATGATAACAGTATTAATAGAGCTTACCTATTTGAGTATTTTTAACAGTCCTACAATATTCAGTAACATACACTGTCACTAACATTAACGATTTATAACAGTTATCAATGTTGATAAGAAGATAGCATCACCACAGCATCCCTCTGTAGATGAGAATAATACATACATCAGATTATCAATGTAACCCCACGATAAAAAAAACGATATATTGCTTAAGACATATTGAACGAAAATCACATAACACAGTACGATTTGAATCGTAATGATATGTCATATGTATGTATATTGTATGACATACCTTAAATTATTACTAAATTACTTTTATATTTACTTTGCACTAATTATTAAATGTAATTATTTTTCATTCAAAATAACAATGAGATAATAGAAAACTCACAGTTCAAATAATCGGTAAGAAATCGGAACTATATATCTAATATATTTTCATTGCTTATGTTAATAAAGAAAATATATTATTTCCATGAAGTGCAGCCAAACTATACAATTTAAAGGTATATCGAAGTCACATGTCAAGATACAAAATTTACAGTCATCAATTTACATCTCTTTTGAAAATTACTGATCACTCCACAGAGATGTAATATAATTATATTGGTAACTACTGTATTGATTATACATTTATAAACACTAGAAGAATAAAAATAGAAATATATTTAGTCAATGATAGGTAGGTGTTAATTGAAATTGATTGAATAGGTACTGAGATACAACAACTATTTAAATTGTAATTTGTAATAAGTATACTTATCTACTAATATATATATTGTTGGGAAACAAAGTTATTTGTAAGCGTTTAAGAAATCTAAAACCAATTTTGTAAAATATGTTGAATTCAATTTATCATATCGTATTTTCAGTATGATGAAGTCAAGTAAATTATTCTTGTTTTGACTGGCGAAAATAATATAGGAAAATAGTATCTGAAATATAACCTGTAAAATAGTTTTTAATTTTAAAATTTAATATTTAGAAATAGATTTTTACATTATACCTAATACGTTCCTCGGTACCTATTTCCCCTAGCTATATACCTATACATAGTAGGTATACACCCTAATGAGGCGAATATTGAGGAACTCAGTAATTACCCAGATGCTCTAAAATCCATTTAATCCATTTTATTACAATAACATTTGATAGATGGTAATATACTATATACTTATAAATTGTTAACTACTACTTAGGGTAGTTGTACAACGTATTATAGGTAGATGTGCGTATAATAATATATACATTGGTGATATACATATTTTGTAAGTTCCTATAAACACTACATTTTCCACAATGATATGGCATAAGACAGACACAGAAAACAATTTTTTTGATGTGTCGTGGAATAGCAATATTCATGGAGACGACTCCCAAACGATGCCATCGATCCAGGACACGTAATTGGACACCCTCGTGTAGACGCCGGGTGCATTTGGTTCACCACATAGTTTCCCGAACGAAGTAATACCCACTTGCGTGTACATGCACTCGAATTCGGGATGAACGATCTGTAATGGTCCACCAGAATCGCCCTAGACAAGTGCAATATTTACAAAATCAATTAAGTATAGTTTTTTTTTCTATAACTGTCAATAAAATTGCATTTTTTGGGTAAAAAAGAGTGACAATTTAATACAATGCTCCTGATATATTGTTACAATAACAGTTTAAAAGTATTAAACATACATAGGCACGATTTTTTTTATAAGCATTTAATGTCCGATTATTGACATCATTTATCAAATTTAAAATTAAAAAATAATTTTGTAGTTAAAAATGTATAAAATTTTCAACTTTTATAGCTAAGGATTGAACATTTAAAACAAGGTTCCACGTAAATAGGTTATAAATAAATTACTTTATTCACAATAATATCATCAAATATACTTTATGATATCATGGCTGACTGACCGTCTTCGCTCAGAATCGTTTTTCTTATACAATGATAATATTATATATAGGTAATAAATGATATACATTGAATTTCAATTTAACATCATCCATTACAGTGACCCACTTGTAACCTACTGTACAGTAGAGCGGGTATCCCTTGCCCACCTTTTTTTAGTTAAATTTAATGAAAAATGAATTACCTAGATTTATTAAAATTATAAAGATAGGTATTTAGTGCCTATTTACAGAATATAATAGTCACGTAGTCACGTAGATATTCCTGATTATTGAAATTGTACTTGCGTACTTGACAGGTGTCCTTGCCACCTTCTAGTTGTCCGGCACAAATTTGATTGTTTGGATTTATTCCAAATTTCAAATTTGGACTCGGAGAAGACGAATAACTTCGATTACATTCATTTTGTTCAACCAAATCTAATGATACTTTCATTAAAACATTACTCGTCAGACCAGCTGAAATCAAAATAAATTACCTATTAGTAAATAAATCAATAAACATTTTTGACAAGTCTACGAAGCCAATCATGTAATGCAGTAATATGACTTCTAACTTCTGGTAAACAACTAAATTTAAATTTAAATTCAAGTACAAAATGTAAAATAAAAAGTTGCTTTAATATTATCACATAACAGTGTTATATTGTTATAGGTACTAATGAAAAAAGTTGATTAGTACAAATCATACTATAATCAATATTCAATAATTAAAACTAAAAGTACCTTTAATCATAGATATTTTAATTTAAGTAAAACTAATTTAAACGTATTAAAAATATGTTATATTGTATATTTGTAAACCTATTACTTACAGGTAATATTATTTTTGACATATAATTTTATAATAAATTAATTTTGTTTTTTAAATGTTAAATTACCAACATTTGTATTTGGATGGACCACAAACATATTACTATAGATCCGTAATCTAATTTAACACATCGTCCACAATATCTTTTATTATGTACTGTTTATACCTACTTTCATTTTTTCGGCTGAATATGATATGCAGCCATGTAGGTATCGACCATTAATTAAAAATTACTTAAAACATTTTATATAATATTCTTAAAGTTGCAAAAAGTACATAGAAACCTGAACTAGTTCTTCCCCAACCAATGGCGATTGCTTGTTTAGCGGATAATTGTACTTCGGTGTTTATGCAAGCCGGAAAGACAAATCGATTGAATTGAACCGGTGTGCTTAGCCGGTACAGACCGATGTCGTTGTACATCGACGGAGCTTTATAATTTGGATGCAAGATCCGCTGGACGATTTCGCGAACCTGAGGGTCTGCAGCACCTTTGTTGGAACCCAAGTCGTTGTCGCCCAGTAAGGCCCATTTAACCGGGCTTCTGAAGTAAGAGTAACCATTGTATAGTTAACATTGGTTTTAAAATATATTAATATGTGTATTGGATAAAAAAATAATATTTTTATAACAGGTAGTAAAAAATAAACCAACTGTAAAAAAATTTGATATTTATTGAATGCAAAAAACAACAAACATCTTTTTTTTAGTTATCAACCCTCTTACTGATTTCTTACAGCAGTGTACCTAGTAGTGTACCTGTATAATAGATATAGGTACATGTCGAGTTATGGAGGTGCCTACACGTTATGCAGTAATAATACTTACTTTTTTCCAATTTCGGAACAGTGTGCTGCTGAAAGCACATAACGATCGCTAATCAATGATCCACCGCATGACCATTCGACTTTTTTAATGTCTTCTCCAAATCCTAAAATAACCTAAATATTTATGACTAGTTATAACAAATATTACACATATTTTATTCAGTATTTATTATTTGGGGGTACCTAGCATAATAAATAATAATATGGAATGTTATCGATACCTAGGTTCTGTAGTATATTAGTAGGTAAGTATACAGTATAGGTGACATGGAAACAGTAGAATTTCTAATTTTATATACAGCGATGACATTATTCGAAGTATAATACGACCGTTTGAAATTTATCGTGCAGCTCTTAGAAAAATAAAAATATTGTCCTTCTACATAATATTTATACATTGTTTCTGTACGGTAACCGTTCTGAGAGCCGTTGAACAAATGTATAATGGGTACAATTGTTGCCAAAAAGGGAAAGGAGGGGGGGGGTAGATAATTATCCATGAAATCTTTTTCAGTGTTTAAGATCTGATAATCATAAATTATATTTTTAATAATCAAATAGTGCATGTTAAAAAATCAGCCATATCCCCCCTTGACAAAATCATTTGACCACCACTGGATAGGTAAGTGTATCACTTATAGAAACGTTTAAATCATTAATGCTTACAGAATCCAGAGTTGTGATCTGGTCATATGCATGCGGTATAAATTATAATTGCAACGAGATAACCACATTTTTATCATGGCAATCGCGTATTTTAAAAAAATTACATTATTCTTTTGGTATGATTTTTATTTCGAATTCAACGGTACTTGCCATGTGGGGAAATTCCATTTCTTCGGCCTCGGTTCCGCCGACGATGGTAAGAATATTTTCGCTCATAATCTTTTTCGGTCGACAACCGCCAGAATCGATAGTTCCACCGCCTTTAGTAGTCAACGAATAGTATTCTCTGCACACTACACAAAATCAACGTCGTGAATATTGGAAGCCGGTACTCAGATTTAAATGCCAATGTGGGTAGCAATAAATGATAATAATAATAATGATTATGTTTCACTCGCTTTCTGTGGAATTTCTACGGGTGGCGTCCTGAGGAGAAGTTGGACAGCACACTATCGGAGTCCGTCCGCTGAACCTGCAAATCTTTGGATAAGCCGCACGGTCTTCGGCCGCACGAAGAACCACCGGACATTGGTCGATTGGCTTACACGTGTAATCGTCGTTTGTCTTGGTGATCACTTTGCACAACTCGTCTGTATATAGATAAACAGTTGAAATAAAACAATAAGTATTGTGTTAATTCCGGATCGTCAATCTCACCGTCTTTCCGGTCCCAGGACTGTGAATCGGCGGAGAACGCGAAAATCAGAGAACACCACACGACTGCGCTTTTTGACATGTCAAGAACGATAAAACTCACACACAAACGATGATAGATCACAGGTAGGTACTTTATGCGAATCACAAATGCACGAATGACTTACGGTTAGGTATATATACATACATAAAAAAAAAATAGACAATATGCTGTAGGTAAAATTATTGTAGTGTTCAATCGAAACGTAGAAGTTATTTCGATCTCTACGAACAGACCGGTTTGCCAAGCTCATAATATCGTCGGAGAAGTGGTCGATTGGATTTTTTCAATATCCTCCTTTTGCAATACTAGGTTTATTGCTACATGTCATATTATTATTATAATGTCAAACAGAACATTGTCTTATTATACACACGAAGCGTCCTTGGTTCTTTTTTTTTACGAGATGATTTAAGACAACATTTTCCTAGAAATCTCATAACACATGGCGTCGCATATTATATGGAGTATTGGTAGGTACGAGGTACCTATACAAAACATTTGGACAGTTATTATGATATTGTTTTATTTTACCTCAAAACTCTAACACCGAAATGAACGATAAGTAGAATTATTATAAGTTTTATAATTAATTACATCGAAAAGTGTACCAATTTATAGCTAAATTCTTTAAAATTATATTCTAGTACTGGCAACTATCGAAGACAAAAATCTAGGACCTGATACATTGCAAAATATATCGATGTCTGTTTCTATATACATTTATTATTACTTCAATGGTAAGCCCATCATACTCTAAATCGGTTCATTGTGGAGAAAAATACACTACTTTATGCATCTTTTGTATGTGCACTGCTAAGACGTCTTGTTGAAACGGATTTGCTTTTTTTTAGTGCCATTTATCTCACTATTGTGCCTAGACTTACTTCGGTTTTGTAACCCATTTATTGCAAGAACCTCCTTTTTTACTGCAATTATTTAGTAGATAATAAGGGGTGTGCATGTTTGGTGAATCACCCTGTATATAGATATTATAATTATCTAAAGAGGTTATATTTATAGGATAATATGCATGGCATACAGGACCGTATTTAGGGATTTTTCGCTCCCGGGCACAATATTTATGGCACCCCTTTCCAAAACATTTTTTTTAATACCATAGAAGTGGTGGCTAAATTTTATTTTTTTTTGGGGGGGGCATAACATTAATTCATTTTTTATGTTTCCCTTTCTCATTGAAATTTAATTTGCAGTTAATTTTTAGCAATTTTAACTAGGTACCTATGCATTCCAATATTAGATTTTTAACAGTAGGTAAACTATACAAAAAAACATGAGTAACTAGTTTATAACTTAGGTCTTAGGTACTATCTACCTAGAATCTTCCATGATTCAAATAATAAAGAATGATATACAATTAATAATATGTACTATAATATAGTAATATAATAATATTTATTGTTTATTTTACAATTTTTTTCTTGATTGAATGTCAGCAAAATGATCTATAATATCTTCATATTTAATTTTTTTTTTTTTTTTTTATTTAATATAAGGCTTCAAATACAAAGTTTATTAGCCTACAATTTGGTTTTTTACATTAATAATTTATAAATACAGTTTAAAAGTTAATGGTTATGGTGTGGCGTCGTTGATCCATTGCTTTATATATTCGTGGTGAGGTCGGCCATCTTGATGAAGTTTGTAATGTTTTTTTCTTGTCCTGGTCCGAGTGCGTCTTTTAGTGAGGTGGTGTTGATGTTCGCTTTTGTTCTGGCGTTTTGGTAAATGGGACATTCTAAGAATATGTGATGAACGGTGAGTTCACTGTAGCATGTTTCGCACGTGGGTTTGGGCTCCTTACGCATAAGGTAGGAGTGTGTGATTCTAGTATGTCCAATGCGTACTCTGATAACCATGGTCTCTTCATGTCGTGTAAGCTTAACAGGTGGGTCCGGCCATTTTATAGTTGATGGTTTTATCTGTCTAAATTTATTGTTTTGGTTGGTTTGATTTTCCCATTGATTTTGCCAGAGACTATAAAATTTCGATTTGAGGGCTCGGATTGCATCGTCGTATGTTACATACGGGTATATTTTAGTGTCCGGGGAGTTAGCCGCTTTCATCGCCAGTTCGTCGGCGAGTTCATTGCCGGGGATGCCGATGTGGGATGGAACCCACATGAGTTTGATGGATTTGACGGTTGAGTGGATAACGTTTTGAATGCTTTGGGCGAGGTTGCATTTTGTATGTACGTTTGCTATTGAGGTGACTGCACTCATAGAATCACTTATGATGAGAACTTTATCGTGGTTTGAGGAGAGTGCGGTTAATGTAGCTTCGAGTATGGCGAAAGTTTCAGCTGTGTATATGCTGGAGAAGGGGTCTAATTTATGGAGACTATTTTCATCCCTGTGGGTAATGGCGAAACCGGTTTCGTATGTTGTTTTGGAGGCGTCAGTATAGACGTGGTAGTAATTTTTGAATTCGGTGTTTATTATTTCGTAGAACGTATTGATGATCAGACTATGAGGTGTGTTATATTTGTTGAATTTGATGAGTTCTGTATTGGCTTCAATGTGGTTCGTGTTCCATGGAGGGATTGTTGAGAAAGTTTCTTTAGGTTTTATGTTGCTGATGTTGAAGGATATCTCTTCAAGGATGTCGTGGAGCTTTATATAAAGAGGTTTCAGGAGGTGTTCGTGGTAGGGGTTTGAGATTGTCCTTATTATGCCAGTTTGGGGAGTAGACATCTTTTTGGCTGCGAACTTTGTAATTAGGTACTTTTGTCTGATATACAATGGTAGGCAGTGGGCTTCGCACATCATACTGTCGACCGGACTTGATTTGAAAGCTCCGATGGACATCCTGATGCCGGCGTTTTGTACGATATTGAGTGTTTTTAGGGTATTTTGGTTGGTGAGGCTGTAAATGATTGATCCGTAGTCCAATGTCGATTGTATCAAAGAGTTGTATAGAATTAAGAGTGTTTTGCGATCAGCGCCCCATTTAAAGTGGCACACGGATTTGATTATATTTAGTTTTTTGGATGACGTTGCTTTCAGTTTTTTTATGTGTTCTTTCCAGTTGAGTTTGTGATCGAAAGTTAATCCTAGAAGGCGGAGACTTCTTGTGTTAGGGAGAGTGTTTCCTTGCATTTTTATATCGGGAATTTGGATTTTCTTCTGTCGATTGAATAAAATGGATTGGCATTTTGAGGGGGAAAAAATGAATCCTGTCTCTGTGGACCATCGGCTGATATTGTCGATTGATTTTTGTATGAGAGAGCTGGTAGTTTTGATGTTTGATCCAGAGAGATACAGGCTACAGTCATCGGCGTATAATATAGTTTTCACAGGAGGTTTTATGTATTTGTTAATATCGTTGATGGCTATTAAAAAAAGGGTTACACTTAATGAGGATCCTTGAGGCAATCCATTTTCTGTTCTGAATGTTGATGATAGGGTATGTCTGAATTTAACCTCGAAGGTTCTGTCTGATAGGAAGTTATTTATAAAATTGAGTATTTTTCCTTTAAGATTCCATTTATGGAGTACAGAAAGGACCCTATGTACCCATACTGTGTCATAAGCTTTTGCGATGTCTAGAGATACCATTAATAAGTGGTTTTTTTTTTCGAACGCCTTGCATATGTTGGTGTGGATGATTGTCAGAGGATCTAAGGTAGATCTGTTTTTGCGGAAGCCGAATTGATGTGGGGAGAGGAGATTTAGGGTTTCTAGATGCCATGTAAGTCTGGAGTTAATCATGCTTTCAAGTGTTTTACTCATTGTATTTAGAAGGGATATTGGCCTATAGTTGTTGATTTCGAAAGGGCATTTGCCGGGTTTAGGGATTGGGATTATATGTGATGTTCTCCATTGTTTTGGGAAGGTGCAATTAATCCAGATGATGTTGAATATTTTGAGTAGAATGTTTAGTGAGGATTGCGACAGGTTTTGGAGGAATGAGAATGGTATTCCGTCTGGCCCGGTGCTTTTACTAGTTTTTTTACTCAGTGAGGTATATAGTTCAATGATTGTGAGAGGGGAGTTGATTGGGTTATCCGGTTCGTCTGCTTCGAAATTTATCGGGGAGTTAATTTCAACTGTTGTTTTTAGGGTAACGAAGTCTTTAATATAGTTTTCATTGCTGTTGTTTTGTTGGAAGAAGGTTCCAAAGGCGTCAGAGATTTCTTTTTTATCGGTAATGGTTTTGTTGTTGAAATTAATTGTCTTTGTTTGGATCCGGTTATTACCTTTCAAGCTGTTAATCTTGGACCACATGAGACTGGAGGTAGTTTTATAGTTGATGCTGGATGTAAAACTTTTCCATGATTCGGTTTTGCTAATGTTAATTATTTGTCGTGAGATTGCTCTGCGTTTTTTGAGTTCTATGTGATCTGATTGGAGTTTGGTTTTCTTGAAACGGTTGAGTGCTTTTTTGTAGTTTTTGATCGCTGTTTCACAATTTTCATTCCACCAGGGGACTTTTTTTTTTTGAAAAAATGGTTTGCTTTTACCTATTGTGTATTCGGCGGCTTCAGTGATGATACTTGAGAAAGTTTCGACTATATTGTCTATGTCTATTGATTGATTTGGTTGGAGAAGGGTTTCAAATTGTTTGGTTGTTAACAGGTTGTCGACTTTGTTCGCGAAGGAGATCCAGTCGGGGTTTCGTAGGAGCCATTTGGGGGTTGATTTTTCTGTTGGTTGTGATTTAAGAAATCTTAATGCTATAGGCCAGTGATCATTACTATTGTAAGCCGTTTGGACAGACCAATCTATTGATCCTCCTAACGATGCAGATGCGATTGATAAGTCGATAGCAGAGAATCTGTTATGGGCTACATTATGTCTTGTGTAATTTCCATCGTTGAGGAGGACTATTGAGTCGTCTTCTAAAAGTTTTTCGATTGTTTTTCCTCGCCTATCTGTGTAGTTGGATCCCCATAAAGTGTTTCTGCTATTGAAATCGCCGAGTAAATGTAGGGACGTGGTAGTTGTTTAATGAGGTTTTCGAGGTCTGAGAGATTGAGGTCAGTGCTATCCGGGGCGTATATGTTGCATAAGCTGATTTTT